ATACCATTGTAATTGCCTTCCTTGTATTCTATCTGAAAGAGTATCTCTAATTCCTGTACGGTTTCGTATTTCCTCATTCCTGATTCTTTCCATTCTCGATACTCGACATGACCTTCTAAGATAATCCATTTCCACAACGTCTACTTTATCTCGTTCATTCTTTGTCATCGTCCAACATTCGACACCATATGTGGTAATTGGTTCTACAATTGCTCTGTATACGCGAAGTTTGGTATGCATCTTTATTTTATTAGACCACAGTAATGAATTCAGTATTCGGATGCATTTTTTCCCTTGGGTTATTCGGTTTTGTACATCTATCTTAACTCTGCCATCTGCTGATATGATGCTTCCTAGATATTTATACTGGTTGCAGCCTTTTATGACTGCGTTTTCAAGCCTCAGATCTGTGGTATTTCCTCCAATTTTTAAATATTCTGTTTTAAATATTCTGTTCTAAACTAAACAATACAAATAGTAAATCGGACTTACATTTACATTACACGTTATTATTAAATCGCGAATAGTCTAAATTGACATAAAAACTATTGTCCTGTGTTAAATATTGTCCTGTTAATGCGAAGTAACTCTCAGTTACTCCAGATGTCCAGAGGTCAGTAGTAATACAGATATTTTCTACTTCTTTAACAACTTGCGATCTAATAATTTGCTCACTTTTGACATAACATTCCTGAAGTAATGAACCTGACAAAGTTTTTCTTGTTGGCGGTTTATATCCAGGAATCCACCCTGCAAACTTTTTAAAAGCTGGTTCTTTAACTATGGAAAACGGATGAAACGAAAAGTTTAGTAAATCTTGAAAATCAATCAGTCCAAGAAAAAGAAACTGATAAAGATGACTTAAGTCCATGGTGTATTTTTGATGAATTAATTGGACATGACTCATCTAAACATACACCTGTATCGAGAGGTATAAAAGAAGTCGACATGTAATTGTCTGATGATATATTACCCACAAACAATTTCGAACGGAGATTGGAACTGTCCATTACCGTGGTGAAAAAACCATCGCCATGTATATCGTAACTTAACCACTATATTCATAAAATGTTGTAGTATTGTAACAAAATCTTTTCCTTGTGAACACATGTTTAACATCTGGTATAATTTTAAATAAAAGAAGAACGCGATTAACAAGAAAAGTGGAAAAACTTATGTTTTTAAATGTCAATTTAGACGATTCGCGATTTAATAATGTGTAATGTAAATGTAACTATTTAAGTACCATTTGTATTATTTAATTTATTTTTCAAGTTACAATAAATATATCCTTCGTTAGGTTCTTTTATTTCAATACTTATACACATAATCGATAATAGCTAATATGTTTGTGTACTCGCTAATTTGAATACTGGTAAACAATCAACTAGTTACAGTTTACGAAAAACTGTTCCGATAAAAATTAAAAAAACGAGAAGACCCACCTCTAGTTTTTTAGGTATATTAGGATCGGAACCAGAGAATATCTGATCGGAACTAATCGTCTCACTAATGGGCAATGGCCAATGAGTGTTAAAAGGATTTTAGGAGGGGAGACGAAGGGGAAATATGATTGTTATCTTTGTCTAATTCATTGAAAATATGATTTTATATCTGCGTTAGATATCCTGTTAAATTTTACCATACCGACCTTAAAATTTTACCTACACTGTATATATATATATATATAGAATAGTTTGTCTGGCTAATTGGCTCGGCCAAGGCCATCAAACTAATTAAAAAATATATATATAGAAAAGAAATTTAAATTTAAGAGAAAGTTAAGAGTTTACTATATATATATATATATATATATATATATATATATATATATATCGAGAAAAGGAGTACGACCGTTAATGCAATATAAATTAAGGATCACTCGAAAAGTGGTGGGTAGACAAAGAAGGTGGCTACTTCATCTATTTTTTAAAGACCTTTAGCTTTTTAATCAGAAAGCATCATCAGTTCACCTAAAAAGAACAATATGAAAAATCACATATCCATAGAAATGTCATTATAAGTGTGTTACCTCGAAAAGACATGTAGCAGTCAATGTTATTATATTTAAATACGTAAAGAAGCTTACATCTGACATTAAATAGTTATGTTGTATATCTTTGGACATAGGCCTCCCCAATCCTCCCCTTCCATTCTTCTCTGTCTGTCGCTACAGTCATCCATCTAGAGCCCACGTGCTTCTTGATATCATCTGCCCATCACATTTGGGGCCTTCCTCTGCTTCGTTTATATTTCCACGGTCTCCAACTTATAAGAATTTTGTTCCATCGGTCTTCTTTTTGTCTTATATTGTGTCCGGCAAATCTCCATTTCAATTTTGCAACTTCTTGTCTAACATCCCTCACTTTTGTTTTCTCTCTTATCCACTCGTTTCTCTTCTTATCCATTAGTCTTATGTGCAACATTTGTCTTTTCATTGCTCTTTGGGTTTTTATGATTTTGTCTATGTTTGCTTTTGTAGATGTCCACGTTTGGGAGCCATACGTAAGAACAGGGAGTACGCATTGATTATATACTTTGGTCTTAAGATGCTGTGGATATCTTTTGTTTTTAAGAATGTAGCGTAGTTTGCCAAATGCCGCCCATGCCAGTCTAACTCGTTTCTTGATCTCTGCTGGTTGGTTCTCTTTGTTAAGTTTTATAGTTTGACCAAGATATATATAATCCTTAACTTGTTCTATTTCATCATGTCCGATTCTCATTGTGATGTCTTCATCTGTATTTGTTATAGTTTTGGTCTTGCTGTAATTCATATTAAGGCCTATCTTTCCAGCTTCTACGTCCAGTTCTTTCATCATTTCAAATAATTCTTCTTTTTTATCGGTTATCAATACGATGTCATCAGCGTACCTTAGATGGTTCAAGCGTTGTCCACAAATTTTTATACCTTTTTTTTTCCATTCTAATCTTTTAAAAGTATCTTCAAGAGCCTGATTGAAAAGTTTCGGTGATATTGTATCACCCTGTCTCACGTCTCTACTTATTTGTAATAATTTTGTTCCTTCATATACTTTAATTGTTGTTTTGGCTTCCTTATAATATATATTGGTTATTAGTTCCGAATATCTGTGGTCAATTCGGCTGTTAATCAAAGAGCTTTTCACTGCCCAATGTTCGACACTGTCGAAAGCCTTTTCGAAATCTATGAACGCCATATATAGAGGAACGTGGTATTCATTTGCTCGTTCTATAAGTATTTTCATACTTATTAAATGGTCACCTGTGCTGAATCCCTTTCTAAAACCAGCTTGTTCTTTCGACTGGTATCCATCGAATTTTGTCGTCAATCTATTGGCTAAAATTTTTGTTAGGAGTTTATACATTACATTGAGGAGTGTTATAGGACGGTAGTTTTTTATATCTGCTTTATCCCCTTTCTTGTGTAGGATAATGGTTACTGATTCCTTCCAGCTGTTTGGGATTCTTTTTTCTTTTAATATCCTGTTAAAAAGGGAATGTAGAGTATTAATTACCACTTTTCCACCATATTTCAGCATCTCTGTAGTTACTCCATCTTTTCCAGGCGATTTGTTGTTTTTCATTTCTTTCAATGCCTTCTTTATTTCTGATTTGCTTATTTCGGGCTGCAGCTCTAAGTTGACATTTTTTATTTTGACCTTAAGTTGGTTTTTAATTTCTTCTGGTGGTTCCTTTTTTGTTTTATATAATTCTGAGTAGAAATGGTGGATTATATTTATGATGTCATCTTTAACGTTTGTTTCTATTTCATTTACATCTTTTATTTTGTTTATTTCAATCTTACCTAATTTCGGCCTTAAGCATTTCATATTTTTGTTGTTTTGTATTACTTCTTCTATTTTTATTTCTTGTTCTTTTCTCTTATTTTCTTTTATCATTCTGCTTATTGTTTTATTAATTTCTACATATTCTATAGATTTCCTTGTGCCTTTTCCGTTCAGCTTCCTTCTTTTATCCATAAGCTTCTTTGTTTCTGTTGATATATAGTTGTTCTTTTTTAGATCCTTCTTTGCTATTTCTTTTTCTGATGTAATCATTGTTGCTGTAAGTATGTTGTCTATTTCGTCTATATCTTTACGGTCACTGTCTAATCTTTGGGTAAGTTGTTCTTTTAATAGGTCTTTGTATATCTCTTTTTTTTATATATACACAACAGTATAGTATTAGTTAAATTTAATTTTTACTTTAGGTAACATTATGTAAGTGATTAAGATTTTGCTATAGTAATATTAAAAAGTGTAATGAAGTTACCACTATTAGCTTCCAAAACTTGTAAGATGCAACTAATAGTGTTAACTTCATTACACTTTTTAATATTACTATAGCAAAATCTTCATCATTTCAATAATGTTACCTGAAGTAAAAATTAAATTTAGCTAACAATATACTGTTGGAAGTGTGATCTTATGATCTTGTTAGTTCTCGGCAAATAAGTGTTTTTATATAAGCTTTTTTAAATATTTTTTAAATTACATGTACAATATCCACATGGTCTTTTGCTGTTCAAAAATTGTAATTTGTAAACTGTATTTAGTTTCAATTAATTGTTTATACAACATAACTATACAATGTCTAACGTCTTAAGCTTCTTTGCGTATTTAATATAATAATATTGACTGCTACATGTATTTTTGAGGTAACACACTTTTAATGTCTTTTCTATGGATGTGTCCTTTTGCATATATTTTTATGAACTGATGATGCTTTCTGATTATAAAGCGAAACGTCTTCAAAAAAATAGATGAAGTAACCACTTTCTTTCCACCTTTTTACCGAAAGGTAAAACCTTTCCACCTTTCCAAAAAGGTTTTTCTTTTCACCTTTTTGATTTTGAGTGGTGAGTTTATATATATATATATATATATATATATAATAGAAGTGCCAAAAATGTATGGTCTTGAACCTGACTCATAGGCAAAACACATAACTTTATAGATCAACGAAAGAACTTGAATAGGATCTAAGATAAACATAAACTGGAAAAAATATATAGAAATAAGAAAGTTGTGAAAAATTTATTTACATTTTAAAATGTATTACAAATATTGTTAATTCATTTTTCATATTTTTCAAGTACCTGAAAAGCCACTGCTATATTAACTGCTTGTCCATTTGATCCAGGTATATCAGTTTTCATACACAACCCAACAATTTTGTGTCCCAGCAGTTTAAATTTAGCACTATTTGGCGACCCTTCCTTGGTTCCAAAATACTGTACTTTCCCGTTCGATAAGTAAAACTCGATGCAGTTGATTCCTTCTCCGCCCCAAACGATAACTTTCTTTAAGAAGGCTTTTTTAAGATCCACGTAGTTTGATTCACCGGTAGCTTTTCCAGTTTCCACACTGTCGCCGTTTTGATAAACAATTTTGAGTCCTCCTATTTTTGGTGCCCCCTCGTTGGTTGCTGTTCTCCAGATGTATACGTAGATACCGTTCATGACATTCCTCTTTTCATTAATTTTTCTAAAAAGTGAAGAGAAATAAATATATAGATAATTTAAATAAAGTTTTCTGAGTATATATTATTTTTTGTGAAAAAAAACATGAACAATTACAACGCTAAAATCCATAAGCTGCAATAAAAATAAATAAAACAGGTTTACATAATACCGTTTACAATTTCCAATTTAATTAAAAATATCATTTATAGATAATATCAATTAGTTACAATTTTATTTTAAGATATTTTTTTAAACGATTTCTGGATGAAAAATCAAAACGTCAAAACAAAATAAAAGATATCGTTTTTATTACAATTCATTTTGATTTATTTATGTTATAAAATAATATTTTAAATATACACGCTATCATTTTAACGTTGTCAAAACTAGAAATTTCCAGTATCAATTACAGTGTTTTATTATAGTTTTTGTTCTAAAAATGCTATTATAAACGGTTCAGAATGGACGAGCCTTCTACCTATAGATGTAGATGTATACCAATATATGTGTATAGAAACGTGGTATTATATGATACCATTAACTGGTATCATCGAATGCGATAGTCCCAAGACTAATGCGCACTTCGATGCGCATCGCCCCGCCTCGAATTTTCCCAATGGTCCCTGAACTGGAAATCCCTATTTATCGCTACATCAGTGTATATAAGTATTGGCGATTTTCAGGTCAACGAGGTAGACCGTCAAAACAGCAGTACAACAACACCGTAGTGAAAACTGGGAAAACCACATGACGGACATGTTAGAACAAGGGCCAAATATGCAACATATTTGGAAACTGCAAAAATTTTTAAGAAGTGACAGAAAGCCAATTCCCCCATTACACGGAGAAAATGGCATAGTCTACAGTACAGAGGAAAAAGCAGAGGTAATGAGGAGTACTCTCGAGAGAGAGTGTACATTAAATTACCACCCAGACGAAGACGACTTCTTCATAGAAGAAGTCGAAAGACAAAGAGAAAGACCGGAAAACCCAAACGAAATTATCCCTCCAAGAACACCGGAGGAGATAAACGAGCTAATCAAGAACAGCTCACCAAAAAAGGCTCCCGGTCTAGATCAGATCACGAACAGAGCTCTAAAATACCTACCAGCGAAAGCCATCGTATACTTAACAAATATCATAAACGCAATGCTAAGGTTCAAAAAATTCCCAAACAGATGGAAAGAGGCCCACGTCATAATGCTACTAACGCCTGGCAAAGACAGCACATTCCCACAAAACTACAGGCCGATAAGCTTACTACCAGCAATCAGCAAAATAGTTTAAAGAGTGATACTCAGCAGATTCCAAGCTGAAACTGACAGATTAAACATCATACCCGAAGCCCAATTTGGCTTCAGATCAGAACACTCCAGCGAGCTGCAAGTACTCAGACTAACCGAGTACATAGCAGCTGGATTCAACGATAAACAATACACAGGAGCTGCATTCCTGGATGTAAGTAAAGCATTCGATAGAGTCTGGCATAAGGGACTACTATACAAAATGAGAGGATACGGGTACAGCGGAGCAATGACAATGCTGATCTCTTCTTACTTGAGCAACCGCAGTTTCAGAGTCCGGATAGGACAAGTCCTATCCGAACTCGGGAACCCGGAAGCTGGAGTACCACAGAGAGCAGTACTGTCACCTCTGCTATACACGATATACACAGCAGACATACCTAGAACACCAGGTACATTATTAAGTCTCTATGCCGACTACACAGCGATAGCGGCCAAACACAGAAATGTAGACATAGCAGTCACCAACCTACAGACAGCGTTAGACGACATTGAAGAATGGAGTCTAAAGTGGAAAATTGCAATTAACTCAGATAAGATGCAAGCTGTACTTTTTCAAAAGAGGCGAGAACGACCGGAAGAACAGGTAACTGTGCAAGACAATCCCATTGAGTGGAAAAGCAAAGCAAAGTACCTCGGGGTAATAATGGACAAAGGACTAACCTTCAATAAACACGTAAAAGCTACGGTACAAAAAGGAAACATGGCAAGGGCCGCAATAAGAGGTCTAGCAGGAAGGAAAAGCAAACTTCGCATAAAAACCAAAATAAGACTTATAAACAGTATAGTCCTTCCTATACTGACCTACGCGTCACTTGCATGGGGACATATAGGCAACACAACCAAAAAGAAAATACAGGCACAACACAACAAAAGCCTAAGAGAAGCGGTAAACGTACCAAGATACGTAGCTGAAAGATTCCTTTTCAGAGAACTACAACAAATCAGAGTGACTGACACTATGAAAGAAAAAGCTAGAAAAAAGTTCGCAGAATTAGAGAACCACCCCAGTCACATTCTACGAGAGATAATGAGGTATGACGCTTTCCACAGATGGAAGCACAAAAGACCAAAACAACAAATAGTAGATTAAAATAAAACCAGAGAGAGAAATAAAAAAACCCCCCAAGATGGACAAAATTCAACAAAAAGCTCAGAGTGGGAAGAAACTTTAAATCATACCACACACACAAGGAAGACAGTTCGTAGCTCAAATCACCCAGAATATCGCTTATCGCCTCATACTCAGTGGGCCCAGCAGCTCAACTAAGATACAGTCTGTATTGTGGTATCGTATAATATTTATATATTTTCTTTATTATAATATAGATTGTACACTAATTATGATTTTTTGTCCACAGGTCACCTACAAAAAAAAATCACATAAAACACAAAAAACCGGCTTCTGCCACCAAAAAAATCAAAAAACACTAACAAAAAACCGGCTTCGGCCACCAAAAAAATTAACAAAAACCCCAAAACTCGGGCACGTAGGGCCCAACCCCCTTGAGCACCAAGTCGCCGAACTGAGTCGGGACACAGAGCGGAGACTTGAGGCGCAAGTAAGCAATTTTAGTTCGCGGATAAGCCACATTAAGATAAACAGGAATATAGCGGAGATGCGCTGTCCTGAGTTTTTTTGCATTCGATTAGGAAACCATGTTGGGGTTCTATTACCCAGGACCTCCACATGAAGAGCACTTGGCTGATTGTTGTGCCTCTATAGCGAATCAGATTGCTATAGGGGGGAAAGGGATGGTCTAGAGCATTGGAACACGATGGGGTGACTCCTGTTTTTACTCGAGTTAAAACACCTTGCTCCAATGAATTGTTACACCCGATCGTACTACCTGGGTGAACATTTCTCATAGGCTGGGTTCAATCAAACTGCTCGCTTGGTCAACGAGGTCAGTCCCGCACGGGCTCTTCGAGAGCTCAGTGCTCTCGGGGCTTTGCTCTTGTTTTACGCTTTTTTCATACTCTGTGCCTGAGATTTTATTCTACTGCAACCTGGTATTTTTATTTCGACTTAACCTTTGTCATGCAAGAAATATCTTGCCTTTTTAAAGGCAAGATACCAGAAGAAAACATTTATGAGTCCATACCCTGAAAATGGACTTAAGTAGAGGAGCTATCGTCGATGTTTTCGAAGCCCTCTACAGAGCACCCGGAGGCTACAGAAGGTGTTTAGACACTTAATTGTTCCCCCGAGGTGACACTAAAATATAACTATGTGGAGAAACGGAACCAGTTAAATTAGGATTGCGCGAAAAAATCGTGGTCGCACAAATTGACGCATTTAGTTGCTTGGGAGCCATATTATTGGAACCAGAAGAGCAGAGTAATGAGGGCGTCCAGATGTCTGGTAGATGGGTGAAAAAGGCGGTTCTAGTAAGGATGGCTAACTAACATGACCATAAGATTACCTTCAAAAAGAGCCAAGTACTTGAAATATGCAAGCGAGTTGTAAGAGTATCCCGAATAGAAGAACTCGTGCGAACAGCCAGCAGTACGCACCAATTTTTCACTGAACTTTTGGAAAATCTAAATCTACCCAATTACAGTACGCTTATGTACTTCACAAGTCTTAGCTCTTTTCTTTCGCGAAAACTAAAGCAGTGATCCAGCGTTTTTATGTGATTAGCAAAGTGTTTATTTTCTAAAGCAACATACGATAATTTGTTATTAATAAAATATTTATTATTTTATATTATTAGTAAGTTAAATAAAATTAGTTTAACTACGTGTACTTCACAAAATCCCTGAACCTACAAAGAAAGGAACAATATGTTTAAAATGTAAATTACATTGTTATCAGGGTTTATGGGTTTATCTTTCTGTTATGATTTATTCCTGATGTTCCATCTGCAATTATGGCAAAGAATATCAAATATGATCTCAGAACTCACTGACAATCTTCATCGAGTTGTGTTTGTTGTCACTGTTTATTACCTTCCCTCTTCTTTCGTTTATTCTTCCCTCCTCAACCTGAATAGGTTGAGGAGGGAAGAACAAGTAGAAGCAAAAGTTTTTAGTGTTTTATTATCATATAAAATGAATTTTTATCAAGTAGCGGTCGAATCTATCACTAATTAATACTTTTAATATTTTCTCTCGATTTTTGATTGGATTTTTTTATTGTATTTTCTTATAGTCTTCCTTAATACTTTTTCTTTTTATCTTACAAATGTCTTTGTTTTGTATTATATATATTTAACTTCTTACTTTTATTTCACTTTATATTCCTTGGTTTTTGCGTTATTTTTGGTTTTATTAGACAGTTTACTTTGTTCCTAAATTGTTGAGGGCTTCAATTTATGTGGAACTCTCAAGAATGATTTCCAATAATCTATCAATTTGGTCATGTAATGTAAATTGTCATGGCTGCGAAATATTCGAGACTGGACAAACATGACTGTAGACGAATTATAGGAAGAAGAAGAATGTAAATTGTAGTAGCATTTGCGATTCATTGATTTTTTTGGTGTATATTGAAATCCCCTCGTATATGTAATATATTAAAATACCCTCATATATGTTTGAGAAATCGCAGAATATTTTTTAATGTGTTTCAATTTCTGATTGGTATATATTAAAACAACGAATTCTTTCAATTCATTTTTGAAGCGTTGCCAAGTAATAAAAATCATTTTAGAGTTGTTTATTATTTTAAAGATGTGTACTTTTTCGGCATTTTCTTTTAATTTTTCTTCTAGTTTTATTCGAAATCGCCTTATAATTTTTGTATGTCGTAGAAATGGAATCTTCTGCGTTTTAATTCCTGTCAAGTGTTTGTTATTTCAAGTTATGCGATTAATTTCTGAGGGTAATTTGGTTACTCTCGGTAAAGCCGACCGCTGAGCAAGGTGTGTTCAGTTTTGTTGGAGTTCGAATTTATTTTCAAATTCGAAATCTTTTCGTTTTCCTTTTCTTGTTATGGCAATGTAGCATAAAGTGACAGTAGCAGTTGGATCCTTGGTATTGAGCAGTTTTACATTAGTTTTTGAAGATGGCCTTATGTTGCCATTGTGCTGTGCCTGTTCCAGTCTTTGAGGGAGACGGATTTTCAAGGTTGTGTTCCAGACGGTGCTGGCTTCCGCCCTCATCTTCTTATCCCTGATCGTCATCCCGAATCTGCCCCCAGTATAGTTCCAGCATGATTCCAGTTCCCGAACTCAGACATGCAGAGTGAAGTTTAGTAAGGTTCAGGTAACTTTTTCTGTGTCTAAAATTTAAAGTCAAGATAGACATTAAAAAAAAAATCTTAATTGCTTTCATTGTTTAAAAAGATAATTTTTTTAAACAACAGATATGTTTATTTTTTAATAATTATTTTCCTATTACAACTAGTTGTTGTAATATGTAGTTATAATTAGGTACCTCAAAGTGGCGCCCTATATTAAATTACTAGAGGTATTTCCTGTTTATTTTTATTTTGTTTGTTCCAAGAGATTAATGACCCCTTTATTTACTTTTTGTAGTTGCCCCATTCAAAACCCCTTTTCCATTTACTTATCCACGACCCCAGCTCTCCTAACAAACCCTGAGTGCCGTTAGCACAAGTAGCGATTATTTTGCTTGCCGTATCTCCATCCCCTTAGTTTCAGTCCTCAATTTTCTGCCCCTTGTATTGATACCCCATGTGGTGGGCAAACTATTTTCGTTACAATGTAATTGTAAATCAACTGTCCTTTGGTAGTGATCTACATTTTCTTTTAAATTGTTAATATTTAATTGATAGAACCCGATTATTAACCAAGTTTTTTAATATGTTTTTTGTGAAGTTCAATGTACTGTCTTTTGTGTGTTTTTTCAGAAAAATATTTTAACATAGAACCAGCTCAAAGGAAAATTTCTGTATTTTTTGATCAGATGAGATGTCTCCTAGTGGTGATACTTTTAAAATCTGGACGTAAGTAAACATTATAACCTTTAAATTAGTTAGTTATATCATTGTTTTATTTCAGTATAGCTATAAAGATGGCTTTGTAAGCCCAAAAGCGCTCAGTTGAGAAATATATGTTTACACATTTCAAAAATATCTTTTCTATTATTTGATTTGTCATTTGATTTGTCATAAGCGGGTACAAAAACATATCAATATTTTCAAGAATTAAATATTTATATTACTGAAAAGGATTTGAAATCCTTTTCAGGATTTTTAAGCATAAGAATACAAAAAATGAAGACAAAAATCTCAGATGTCTTAAGAAATATTTTGAAACAAAACCGATAACAGAATCGTTGGATAAAAATGAGTTAACAAGACAAAAAAGGCTAGAATGTCACGATAAATGTAGAGATAGAAATAAATAAAATGTCCTAACTTACCTAGGTTGTAATGGTGGAGCTACGTCATCTGTTACTAACTGGTAATACAATTGTGGACTAGGTCTACCAAAGTACGTAGAATAGGTAATAACGTCATTATAGACATTTTTCACTTTCTTATCTAGTAAAGCCCTCCAGAAGGGCACATATTCTTCTCCGTTAATGCCACACCAGGTGCGAACAGTAGCCAAGATATTGTAAATAAGCTCCTGATCGCAAGTTCTATATTCAAGATGAAATTTGTCTTCAAATGTTTTCGTTATATGGGACACTGCACCAAGATATGGATCATCGATCAGTTTTTCACGGAACTGGAGAATTCTGCCGATCTGTTCGTCATTTAGTCCAACCTCTCTGTGTCTTTTACAAGCAATGGTATATAAAATAACCTTGAAGTTAACTGTTGCGGTGTATAAAGGTAACAAGTTGAAGTTAAGGTTAATGTCTGAATCTCCGCAGTCTGAGAATTTCTTTTCCAGGAATACGAGTTGTTCAGCCAGTTGAATGAAAAACTCCGCTTTAACAACGGAAGGTTGAAATGTTTTTATTTGTGATTGAAGAATATTTAAATTATCTCTTACATGCAAAATATCTTCCCTTAAAATTTGTTGGATTCTTTTTTGCGTCGCTTCATTAAGTAGAAAAGTGATCTGAAAAATAATTATAAATAATTTGTGTGATTCTTATTATATATATATATATATATATATATATATATATATATATATATATATATATATATATATATATATATATATATATATATATATATATATATATATATATATATATATATATATAAATATATATATATATATATATATATATATATATATATATATATATAACACTGTTTTTGATGGGTTGGAGTCAATAAAAGGGGCTATTTGTTGACTATTTTTTACGCGAGCTTTCAATTGTGATTACAATTTTTATCAAGAGCTTCTAAAAAATACAAAATGTCTTACAAAGTTGAACTAGAAATAAAAAATTTTTTGTTAACTCCTTAAAATTGTTAACCAAATAAAATTAGTTTTTTATATAAAACTACTGCTTACATATTAAATACATATATTAATAAAAAAATGTCTTATTCTAATAAATGTTTCTCTGAAAAATTTAGATGAAGTTTCTTAAGAAAAAAAAATTGAATTTATAAACAAAAATAGAATAGCTACAACCAGCCTAAATGTCATAAATACTAACTTAAAAATTTTTATTTTTGACATATTGTCAAAAATAAAATTTTGTTTAAAAAATGCTTCTTTGTTTAGTAACAAAAAAGAAGAAGATTTATTCACCATTGATAGATGCCCGAAAAAATGTAACAATTACATGGAAAATTCAAAATGTGATATTTTACTGACTTCATAAATTAAATAGAAATTATACAATTATAAATTTTGCTTAAATTTTGAATTTCTGACCTTTTGTTTAAATTATTATCACTTTTGCTAATAAAAACCATTTCCAAAAAAGTTCTTTTAAATTTATTACTTTCATTACATAAAATTTTAATATTATCAAAATCCATAATATGGTCTTTGTCTATTACATGCTCTGCCAAAGCATGTAGGTATATATAGATATATATATATATATATATATATATATATATATATATATATATATATAATTTATTGTTTTGGAGTATCAGGTATGCGGTCTGTTATTAAAAAAAACTCTTTTTTCTTTTATTACTCTATATTTCGCTGATTTTTGTCAGCTTCTTCAGGAGATAAAGATTAAGAGTTAAAATATTTAATAATGTTGAACATAATATATTCAAAACAGTACTGACCAGTCAAAATAGGCCAGGTAGTTCAGAAAACAATCTTAATTAAAGAACACAAAATAATTGGATTACAAGGGAATAGACATTTTTTTTGAACCTATTCTCTATCCTTCCATTGTTGGATATAGGTCTCCCCCAGTTCTCTCCATCTTTCCCTATCTTTAGCTGTTCTCTGCCATGTGGGACCTCCTTGTTTCCTGATGTCATCTTTCCACCTCATCTGTGGTCTGCCTCTCGATCTCTTTGCATTGTATGGACGCCAATTTTCGATGGCATTGTTCCATCGTCCGTCTTGGAGACGTTCATTGTGTCCAGCCCATTTCCGTTTCAGTTTTGCTGCTTGTTCTATCGCGTCTACTGTCTTTGTTCCGGTTCTGATCCACTGGTTACGTTTTCTATATTTGTCTCTCCATCGCTCTTTGTGCCTGAGCACCGGTATTATACAGGAGTTATATACCTTGCTTCGTAAGTATAGAGGGATTGTTTGATTTATTAGAACGTAAGAAAGTTTGCCGAACGCTGCCCATCCCATTCTTACTCGTCTCGATATTTCGGCTGTTTGGTTTTCTCTGTTAGCTCTGATTGCTTGTCCTAGATAGATATACTCATTTACCTGTTCTATTTTTTCTGTTTTTATTTTTATAGCCTCTTGGTCTTCCGTGTTTGTCATTACTTTTATTTTGTTGAAGTTAATTTTTAGGAATTTTTGCAGTGATTTTTCATGAAGTTCATTCAGCATTAATTCCAGTTCTTGTTGTTCCGAGGAGATCAGGAGTATATCATTCGCATATCTAGGTATTTTTCGTTAATACATATTCCTCTATTCTCCCAATCTGTTGATTTTATTATGTCTTGTCGGACTCCTCGTTTAACTTTTATATTATCCGTTATTAATTTGTCGTCCAGAATTACGGTCATGGTTGCGTTTTGGTAAATATCATGTATCAATTGTCGGTATCTTGAATCTATTCCACTATTGACCAGAGCTTCTTCAACCGCCCAGTGTTCAATGCTGTCGAAAGTCTTTTCATAATCTACGAATGCTAAGTACAGCGGAAGGTTGTATTCATTGGTTTTCTCAATTAAGATTTTAAGCGCATGTAGATGGTCTATTGTGCTGTATCCTTTCCTGAATCCGGCCTGTTCCACTGGTTGGTGGTTATCAAGTTTATAGGTTAGTCGGTTGTTTATTATTCTTGTGAAGGTATTATATAGTTGTGACAAAAGGGAAATAGGACGGTAGTTGTTTAGGTCTGTTCGGCCTCCTTTCTTATGTATTAAGATTGTGTTGGCATTTATCCATTGTTTAAGTATTTTACCTTCAAACAGACATTTGTTGAACAATATCTTTAGCATTTTTTTATCGTGTCTCCTGCTTCTTTTAGCAGTTCCGCCAGTATTTTGTCCTCACCGGCCGCTTTATTTCTTTTCATGTCGTTTCTGGATTTTTTGATTTCATCTTCAGTTATTTCTGGTAATACCTCTGAGCCAACATTTTGTATTTTCCTCGAGAGATTCTGTTTAGATGATAGTGGTGGGTCATTTTTAGAACTGTATAGGTCTGTGTAATATCTTTCTTTGATTTTTACTATTTCTCCTAGATCTCTTTCTCCATTGTTCTCAGCTTTAAGCATGATTAGTTTTCTTTTTCCTGTATTTGTCTTTATTGTTTTTAAACTTTTGTTCTTCTCTGTGATTTTCTTAATACGGTCTTCTTGGTACTTCTTTAAATCATCCTTTATCTGTTTTCTTATAGTTTTTTTCAATTCGGTAAACTCCACTGTATTTCTTTTGTTGTCATTCAGTAGTTGTCATCGTTTTTTAGCATATCTTGTGATTTAGCGCTAATTTTTTGTTGTTTTCGCTTTTATTTATTAGCAATCTTCAGGCCTGCTTCTAGTAGTTCTGTTGTTATTTTATTGTTTAATTCGTCTAGTTGCAAACCCTTTAGCTGTGATATGTCACTTCTTTTTAGCTGGTTTATGTATTGTTCTTTGCGTTCTTTAAGAAGTTCGGTATCTATCTCTTTTTTAGATGGTTTAAATTTTTGTCTGTCTGTTGTGGAGTTAATTTTGATAATTCTGTGATCACTTCCTACGGAAATCATGTTTATGACCGTAACGTCTTGTACTATGTTCTTTTCTTTGGATAGGATGTAATCAATCTCATTTTTTGTTAAACCATTGGGCGCGACCCACGTCCATTTTCTCTGTGGTTTTTTATTGAAAAAGGTATTCATCGCATATAGACCGTTCGTTTCCATATAGTTCATCAATGTTTCTCCTCTTTCGTTTCGTGTGCCATATCCAAAGTTGCCGATTTTATTTTATGATTCTTCTAGTTTTCTCCCTTATTTGGCATTGAAGTCGCCTATAATGATTGTGTAGGTGCTTTTGTATTTGTTCACTGTTTGTGTCAATGATTCGTAGAATATATTCAGTTCTTCATCCGTATGTGATGATGTAGGGGCGTAAATTTGTATGGTCTTTAAACTTATACTTTTATTTATGTCCATTATTAGAGCCGCGATCCTTTCTGAAATTCCATTATATTGTCTAATCTTATGAACATGCTGATAAGAAATAAGAAAACCGGTACCAGCTAATGATTCTTCTTTAGTTCCTTTAGTATAGTACATTCCCGGATTCCAACTTCATACAGGCTTCCCCTTTTCTTTTTATCTCACTTAATGCTTATATATCCCATTTCATCTTTTTTACTTCTGCTTCCAGTTCGGCTAGCTTTTCGTCTTTCATCAGTGATCTGACATTATAAGTCGCAATATCCAGTTTCGTTGCTTGTTTTTGTTGTTTCTAGCAATCTTCTAAAACCCAGGGATTTTTAGCACCCTCTGCTCTTTCCCCAATCCTACCATTGCCTTGGAAGATGACTCCGGAGCTGCTGGGGACTGAGGGCCAATTCTTACGTATATCTATCATTAGAGGGGGGTAGATTGGCCGTGAACTCACCACGCTGGCCAGACGGGTTGGTAAGTGTGTTTCAGCCGCCCACTCTGGGAACAGACGCTGTTTGCAGCCGCCCACTCTGGGTCAGACGCTGCTGTTGTCGCAGTATCACAGCCGCTTAACCCATAATATAAATAACGCCTGTGAGTATCTGGAATTAAGCCAACAGAATCTTTACTTCCCATAGCCTTAATCCAGTAATGACATTACTGCTGCCTAATGTCATATCCTCAGTTGATCCGCGGGTACTTATTTGGCAATGCCTTATTCGTACCTGTCCTGCATATCTGCAGGAACTTTCCCTATTAGCCATATGGGACGTGCCGTGTCGAGGTTGAGGACATCCCCTACCCAGTCTGTCTTCCGTGAAGTACAGAAGAACTCCTACTCAGTTCAGAGCTCCTCCTCCACGGAAGCTATTACCGACACGGTCATAGCTTTCGTCATTATACAAGGAAATAGACTAAAATAGCAATAAACGAAAAAAAAAATGAAAAAACGGGTAAAGAAATTATTTAGAGAATAAAAGAGAAAAAAGTTTAGTCAGCCATCTCACGTTACTGATCCAAAAATACAGAACCGCCCAATACTCAACAAGAAGTGACGTTAGTAGAGAAAGAGAGATATTGTTCAATGTCAGTATTGAACATACAATATTATTAATAAAAATTTAGTGCTATTTCGGAATCTAAATGAACTATTGTTGTCATACCTGTTTAGCGATTTTGTCCCAAACACTTTCACCTCCTTTATGCCAAAAAAAATTTTCCAGCGATTTAAAGTCCATATTAATTTCGGAAATTTTTCCTACTCCAAAAGGTATAAAGTATTTTGCAATCGAATTTATATCTGGTCTAATATTTTCAGTTCCTTGTCCTCTCAGAGGATAACCGCTTAATTCGGAACAATGCACAAGAGCTCTTACATTTGTTTTATTTGTTATTTTCACAGCTAAAATAATAAAAAAATAAAACATGTCAATATTTATATTAGTAAACCATCATCCGAATATTTGTAGGTAATACTATAAATTCAGCCAATACAGTGAAATGAAAGTACTAAAATATCAGAATAACTACCGGAAAAATAATGACGGTACTACCAATCATCATCATCAACCTTGCATGGCTTGTTTCCAATTACATACTTCTAATACGCTTGAGGTCGTCAGTCCTTCTAGAGAATACCATTACTCAAAATTAAAGTGAAAAAAATGATAGATTCAGTAGCATTTGTAAATTATTTGTCCACAAAAATAAACGATCAGAAGACGATGCTAATCATAGTCAGCAGGTTGTTTAGTAAGTCTTCCAGATTCAGAATACGTCGGATAAGCATGAAACTTGCAAATGATTTATGCCATTTTTTGAACTGAGATATCTCTCCGTACAGATTCAAAAGTTAAATTAAATGTAGTATTTTGAAAACCAGAAGACTTTTCTGCTTGTTTTGTTACGTTTAAATATTTCTATGGACCACGGATATGGTGTCTATAACATCGCAAACCAAGCATTGCTTAAAACTTTGGATACTTTTTAGACTTCAGCTGTTAGACTTGCTCTAGGAGCATATTGCACCAGTCCTGTGGACAGTCTACTCCGTGAAGCTGGAGAGCCACCCTTAAACCTAAGAAGCAAATACCTAACTCTATCGTATTTCTCGAATATAAAATCTAACCCAAAAAATCTAGTTTTTCATCATGCTGTTGCTAACAAGTTCTTGAAGGTCTAATAGATTCTTATTAGATTTTAATATTGAACTACCTCCCATTTATCCTACCTGTGAAATAAATTTATGTTTTCCTTGGGTCATTCTCTCTGCGCTTTCTAACCTTAAACTTACAGCATATAATAAAAATAACGTGATACCCAATTTTTTTAAACTCACTTTCTCGGGGCATGCTTTGTGATATCATATGAACATACCATATATAAATTGTCTACTAAGACAAGTATTTTTACTGCAGAACTATTTGCCGTCAAGAAGGTCCTAACCTTTATTCTAGAAAAAAAATTTACCAAATTTCTTATAATATCTGATTCACTTATTTATCTGACATAAATTTCTCAGATTTATCCCTCTCATCCAACACTACAGTAGATTAAGTTAATTTTATACCTTATATACCTAAACAATTTTATAGTAGAGTTCCTCTGGGTACCGTCACACTGGGAGTGCAGTACGGGCACGGGTAAGATACGAAAATGCTTTTCTTATGGAGAATAAACGCGCAGGGTTGTCGGTTTTCTCCATCTGTTGATTGCTCATTGTCTCACAGGACCGGCTTGGATAAAATGCATCTGCCGGCAGTACGAGTAAAATATTTTATGTCGTGTATAGGTATACAGTAGAATAAAAAGGCATTGATGAGTTATTGACAACGAAAACTATGAATTTTGCATATAGAACGTCAACATGAGATATACAATTGAATCATATTCATAAGCGTAACATTTGAACACCTCTTTACAAGAACAACATACAATAACTGTAGTTTTAATGTTTTACATAAAATAGAAAAAACCTACATAATTTTTAGGAAAGAATTTGGAAACTTGGAAATGATATTATTTATAGATATTATACATAATATTCAAATTTTCAATTCTTTCATAGAAATTAGATTTTTTCTATTGTATGTAAAATATTAAAAATACAGTTATGTTGTTTCTATAAATAGGTCTTCATTTCTTTTGTAAAACTTCTGCTACAAATTACCATCATTAACATAATCACCTAAATATGGCCTTAAACTTGCTTGTCATAATTAGTATTTGATAAACTCCAAACTTTCCCTATTTCACATCCTACCCATCCTAAGGATGGGTAGGGGTGAAAGTGCTTTTGGAAAACGAAACTACACTTCAAAATTTAGTCCGAGTTTCAACAGAGAGCATGGAGTCCCATAAGTTTCATCATCCAGCCTCAAGAGTCCACTGCTGAACATATTTCCAACCCCGTCTATCTTGCGCCGCTCTTCCTCATGTTTCCAACCCCGTCTATCTTGCGCCGCTCTTATCCAGTTGAGTCTTCTTAAATCGTCAGTCCATCTTGTAGGTGGTCGACCGACGCTTCTCTTGTCTTCCCTTGGCCTCCATTCCAATAACCTCTTTGTCCATCGCCCATCTGTCATTCTGGCTATGTGTCTTGCCCATCTCCATTTTAGTCTGGCTATCTTCTCGATGATGTCAGTCACTCCGGTTCTTCTCCTGAGGTCTTCGTTTGTTATTCTGTCTCGGAGAGTTATTCCTAACATGAACCGCTCCATTCTTCTCTGCGTGACTCTCAGTTTGGTAGCTGCTGCTTTTGTTAAGGTAAGTGTTTCTGCTCTGTACGTCAAGACTGGGAGGACGCACTGATCAAATACCTTTCTCTTTAGGCATGTGGGCAGCTCACTTTTAAAAGTTTCTCTCAGTTTTACAAATGCTGCCCACCCAAGGCCGACTCTTCTCTTCAGTTCATGAGTCTGGTTATCTCTGCCTATCATAATTTCATGTTCCAGGTATTTATATCTATCTGCGAGTTCTATTTCTTTCCCACCAATACTGATGTTCTGGTTGGGCACCAAATTGGTCATGATTTTTGTTTTCGAGATATTTATACTTAAACCTACATTTTCTGTAGCCACAACGAGTTCCTGTACCATCTCTCTTGCCATACCTAGATCTTCAGCTATTATAAGTATATCATCGGCGAAATGTAAGTTGTTTAGATATTCTCCATTTCTCCTATTTTTATTCCCTTTGTCATCCAATCCAAATTCTTAAAAGCATGTTCTAGCACCGTATTAAAAAGTTTAGGTGACATTGGGTCTCCTTGTCTGACCCCCGTTCTATTTTTATGCGATTACTGTTAGTATGTAATTTGACAGTGGTTGTTACCTGCAAGTATAAGGCCTAAACGGCTTAACGGTTGCGCTAAACTCGTAGTGTTAAATGTGTTGTGTTTTTTACAAAATACGGAACAACTTAGTGTAAGTGCTGCTGTAAGACGTACTTCGTTAATGACTGGTGTTAGCAAAAGAATCATTTACAATTTCAAAAAAGAAAAAGAAGAGAGTGGAACGTTGAAATCGCCAAAAAAACCTAAAAAACCAGTGTGTCAATCAAATTCTAGAATATTCACATATGACGAGGGTGTAAGAAGTATTCTACGGAGAATTTTTCATTGTAAATTTTTCATGAAAAATTTGCCGCCATTCTTAAAGCATGTACATAAATTCATACAAGGTAATGGGAATACACAGCCGTTGTCTCTTTCTACTTTATACAGACTTCTGAAAGATATTGGATTTGTTTATAAGAAACGTGGCCGAAGAAGCATCATGGTGGAGCGAGAGGATATTATTCATTGGCGCCATAATTATTTGAGAACTATACGACGTTTGCGAAAAGACCATTGCAATATCATATATTTGGACGAATCGTGAGTTAATGTTGGCCAATCTATAAATTACGAATGGTGCGATACTACGATACAAAACAGTCATGATGCTTTTCTCAAAGATTTAACTACTGGCTTAAAAGCACCTACTAAACGAGGTCCACGATATGTTTTATTGCATGCAGGTTTATCAGGAGGTTTTCTTCCTGGCACACAGCGTGTTTTTCTGGCAAAGAAAAATTATGGCGACTATCACGATGAAATGGATGCCGCATATTTTGAGTCGTGGTTTAAGGAGACATTAATATCAAATTTACCAAATAATGGTCACAGGAATGTCATTGTAATGGACAATGCATCGTACCACTCCCGTAAAGAGAGATTCTCTAACAATTCCTGGAATAAAGCTGCAGTCAAGGAATGGCTATTGGAAAAAGACATTTTTTTCCAGGAGTGTTATTTGAAATCCGAGCTATTAGAAGCAGCGCGTGCTTTTAAAGATCAATACGATAAGTATCATCTTGATGAGTATGCTTCACAACATAATATTTATATTTTAAGGCTTTCTCCATATCACTGCGAATTGAATCCTATAGAAATGGTGTGGAACCAAGTTAAGCGATATGTAGGTACCGATAATACCACTTTTGAAAACGACAAGGTACGCCAGTTGATCGACGACGGTTTCGCACGCATCACAGAGCAAAATTGGCGCAATTATGTCACTCATGTTGTTGAGAAAACGGAAACTGAGATGTGGACTGCAGACAACCTGCAAGATGACGTAGACCACTTAATAACACACGCGAACACAAGGGAGAGTAGCGAAAGAGAATTCGACATCTCGGATGTAGAGGACGACTTTAATATAATTAATTGAATATATGTGAGTAACCTCGATTATTTTACACTGTATAACCAATAAAATGCATTTGCCAGTTGAATCACAGTATGGTCTTTTCGGATATTGGGCTGGGTGCACGGAAATCAAGTTCCCGGGGGTTCCACCCTGTATATTTATAGCTATCAAGAAATGTAATTTAAAATATATTTGTTAGTTTAATAAAGTATAAATATAATATAATGTTAAATAACTTACACCATAAACCTTATACCTGCTCATCTGGTCAAGCGTGGGCAAGGAAAACCATTATCCCATATGGAATAATACAAGGTTTCGCTGAAAACTACCAGGTTGCTATACCAAGGAACTAGGTAAAATTCATAAATTTCATAGTAGGTGTTAAAATTTTGCAGTGATTCAAGTGCGCAACTTGTTTTTTTAATAACATCGCCGGGATTAAAAAGTGTGCAAGGCTTTTTCGATATTCCCGTTCCTGATAATTTTTCACATATTTACAAAAGAAAAAGTTTTTCTTGGATATTGGGCTGGGTGCACGGAAATCGAGTTACCCGAGGTTACACCCGGTATATTTATAGTTATCAAGAAATGTAATTTAAAATACATTTGTTAGTTTAATAAAGTATACAGTTTTATAATAAAATTCTTGCTAAAAACTTAAGGTCTTTTTATTCAAATTCATGCCTTTTATTTTTCTACTTGAAGGCAATTATTTTATCAATATATTATTTTATAATAAATAACAGAGCCCGGCGTAGAGATCTGGGTACGGTTCTGTGACTACCACTTGGACCTTTTTGTATCCGCCAAGCACAAGGCGTGAAATCCGGCAATTGTGCATTCCTATATTAGCCGTACTGCACTCTCGGTGTCACATTTTCTATATCTAGATCCGCAGTAACCAATACAGCCGCTTTCTTGAAACTTGAAAGACGATTAAAATATCGTTTGAATGTTGGATTACCCAAAATTTAGATCCGTGCTTCGAAATCAGATAGAGACGAAATTCAGGCCCCTATTATGAAATTAAACTTTGAAGTTCAAAATCAGTGAAAACATGTTACGTGTTGTGAACCGTGAAGTTTTAACAGTAAAATAGAGGTTTAAGACGAAGTTATGTCGTTATGTTAAGAGTAGTTAAAATACGTTGGACTAACAGAAGAAGTTTAAATTGAAAAAAATTTAAGATCCATGAATTCTATGAAATATTACTAAGAGGCATAAACTACAATATATCTTGAATATATAATCAGACGACCAAGATTGACTTCCTTCTGCTAAATCTCAACAGTAAAATCGAAGGAAAGAAGTCCACAGGTCTTACAGCAGATCAATCACTACATTTAATAAGTTTTGCGACCTGTACCGTTATTCCCATTGAATGTATTAATCTTTAGGTGTTTTATTTCATCTCGTACTTTTTTAATTCAAAGGTTTTCACAATACATATATTTTAAACATTTATATATATATATATATATATATATATATATATATATATATATATATATATATATATATATATAAATGTTTAAAATATATGTATTGTGAAAACCTTTGAATTAAAAAAGTACGAGATGAAATAAAACACCTAAAGATTAATACATTCAATGGGAATAACGGTACAGGTCGCAAAACTTATTATATATATATATATATATATATATATATATATATATATATATATATATATATGTTTAAAATATATGTATTGTGAAAACCTTTGAATTAAAAAAGTACGAGATGAAATAAAACACCTAAAGATTAATACATTCAATGGGAATAACGGTACAGGTCGCAAAACTTATTAAATGTAGTGATTGATCTGCTGTAAGACCTGTGGACTTCTTTCCTTTTCCTTTCCTTTCCATATATATGTATGTATATATATATATATATATATATATATATATATATATATATATAGGGGAAATCTGCAAGAAAGACTCTAATGAGTATCAATTGTTTCGCCGAACGTTTTTGCCAAAGAGTATCACAAGTATGGGTTTGCAATTTAAACTTTTTTGGTTGTGGTATGTGGCCTAGGGGGTTGATGGGGTTGAGTTCTCTTTCATGTCATTTTAGTTTCCCCTTACTATCCTAGAATCGGTTTCAAGCATTTTTCAATATCTGCTTTTGTTCGTGAGATATAGCCCATTGTAAGTTTTAAAATATATACACACTGTATATTATATATATATATATATATATATATATATATATATATATCTCCAAAATATGTAAATTAGGTATTTTTTCTTTTTTTTAATCATGAAATTTAAGAACCATTAGTCTCTATGTGAAAACTTATCGGCTTACTATTCTGTTAAAAAGTAGTGGGACAAGGTTATACAATTTATCAGAGATAAATTCTGTTTTTAACAATTAAAAACAAGTTGGTTAATGTAAAGAGACCATAAAAGATTTAGTTTTTTAAGAATGTTTCTAAGCTAAATTACAAAACCCGGGGAAACTCACCTGTTACAAAATATGGCTTATCACTTACTACGATTCTGTATCCATTTCCAGGCGCCAGGTTTACTCCATCTAAAACCCCACTCCATGCCAGTTTTGTTCCCCACCATCCTTCCACTAGCACCTCCTGTCTTCCCATATTAAATACATAGTAGTCAGTATGGCATTTGGGAAAAAATCCAGAATCTTGTTTTGATAGCCATCTGCTATCATTCGGTAAGACTTGAAAACAATTTGTGTTGGGTCTACTCATCGCAAAACGATGTGTCTAAAATATTTAAATTTTTAAAATAAATCAATAAAAATATACCAGAACACCTTATATTATTGTTTTTATTGTAAAGTGCTGTCTTATTTCGTATCATTTTTAAGTAATTTTCTCTCTGCTTTGCAGACGACGCAATACTACTCTTTCAAAGTAAAGATGATTTACAACTTATGCTGCATAAATTCAATATAACCGCCAGTAAATGTAATACCTTAATTTCCCCAAAACCGACAAAATGCATGGTTATAATAGCAAATTTACTAAGATGTAAATTGGAGCAGAAAGGTCAGACATGGTCAAATGGAGTTTAAAAATCTAGGCATCACATTATATAGCTACGGAACTCTCGAAACAGAAGTGGAAGATTAAGTGAATAGAGCAAACTGAGTCACAGGTTGCCTTAATAAAACAATATAAACAAAATGAAAATATATGGAAAGAAATGAAAGGCAGAATTTACAAAACGGTTATCAGATTATTAATTACATACGCGGCAAAAACACTCCCTGACACAGAGAGGGCAACAATGTTGTTGGAAACAGAAGAGATGAAAACACTTAGAAACATTGATGGTAAAACACTACGGACAGAGCTAGAAGTAGAGATATTCTACATAGGTACAAGGTGGAGAACATCAAGGACTGGGTAACAAATAGACGAGTAGAATGTAACGATCATATAAGCCGAATGACAACAAATATACTACTCTATTTCGTCAACAAGATACGGTTTTCCAATAGGAAGACGATCAATAGGAAGACCACGAAAATGATGGAAAGACAATTGGAGGCTGGAGACTGGAGGCACATTGAAAAAAAAAACGTCATGTCTACATGAAAAAAAAAAAGAAGATAAAGATGATAATGAATACCCTTAGAGCACTAGTAGCACTTGTGCCAAAATTTTTAAAAATAAAATCAATACTCCTCTATAAATTCGTAGAATTAGATAAGAGAGAAAATTTTAAAAAAGATGATCTTTACAAAAGTAAATTAAATTTTCACGTAAATGTCCCCAGGAAAAACCACAGTTTTCAGATATTTTACTCTCCTTCATTTCATCTATCACTACTTACAAAGTTATAAGGGATGCAATCGTGGTCGAGATGAGTACTCATCTTTACCTTATTTTCCTCAAGTTACTGAGAAACTTATTAAACTGTATAAACAGAATAACATACCTGTTAAAATTGCTGCCAAGAATGCTAAGACTGTTAGAAATTTGTTTTCAAGAACTAAAACACCCTTGTCCCTTTTGGAATGAGTCAATACCATTTATCATATACCTTGTGCTGAGTGTGATTCATGTTATGTCGGTCAGACTGGGAGATCATTAAGAGGGCATCTTACTACACATCGTAGTGATATTAACTTATCTAAACACACTTGCGCTTTAGCTCAACATGCCATCAATACTAAACATAAGGTATATTTTAAAGAAAATAAGTTTCTTGGCACTGAACGCAATCTCGTCAAAAGACAATTTTTGGAAATATGTTCAATTCTCAAACGCCCAAATGCTCTCAATAAGACAACAGACATAAGTAACTTGAGCCAAATATATCATGCGTTAATATTGCAGAATTAGGCTTAATAAGCTATTTACATTATAATTGTCTTATTAGGTGTACAGTATAACACATTTTCTTATCAAATAATATAAAATACTATTAACATATAAAATAAATTCATAACATAAATAAAATAAATTAACTTCTTACTTAATTCATCTAGACTTATGCAACTTACATTACACATATACATAGATTTGTAATAATTGTCTTTGAATTAAATACTTTAATACATAAATTAAATTGATTCATAGAATCTCTTATCATTTACAGTTCCAAGTGTATGAACCTTGGACTGTTGGAAATTATGATCGTTTTTCACCTGTGGCTGAGTATCCAGCCACAACGTTGACGATATTTTTATATATGAGTTTTGGACTGACCTCACTTGTTTGTTTGTTCTAAACTGATTAGTGGGAGAAATTGGTGTTATTAATACCTTTCTTTCTCTCATTGTTTGGTTTCTTACAGACGGGTTATCATCCAAAACTCATTTTACTTTTTAAATATACCGCTCTATAATTAGGGTTGGTATCTCACCTTGTAGTTCTGTCATATTTTTATGAGCTCAAGGTTGGCTGTCTTTTCACGTTGTTTGGCGCCGCTTGCTTCAATCTCACGCCATTTTAGCGACAGTAGTCGTGAAGCTAACAGTGGTAAATTCGTTATACACTACTTTATTAAATTTCAATATTATTCACTTTAATAATGCTACGTAAGGTTAAAATCAAATCATAAATATTAATATATTTGTTGGAAGTGAATCTATGATATTCTTAGTTCTTTAATCACTATTTAATGTTTTATTACGTTTACATATATAATAGACCACATGTTCTTTTGCTGTACTAAGTTTTAACAAATTGGTAATTGTTGTTAGTTCAATTGATTGTTTATATAATATTATCATATAATGTCCATTTACTTGAGCCTGTTTACATTTTTAATATCTTTGACTGTTACATATCTTTTTACGGTAACACATGTAACAACTTTTCCATGCTTTTGTGGTTTTTTTTTTCATATTATTCTTTTTAGATGAACTGATGATGCTTTCTGAATATGAAAGCGAAACGTCTTCAATAAATAGATAAAGTAGCCATCAACTTTGTCTTTTTCTCCACCTTTTGACCAATAAAAGAACCCACCACTCATCTGAGTGATCCTTTATTTATATTGAATTGACGGTCGTACTCCTTTTCCGATATATATATAGATATATATATATATATATATATATATATATATATATATATATATATTTATATATATATATTTATATATATATATATATATATATATATATATATATCTGGGTCAAACTATAAAACTTAACGAAGAGAACCAAACAGCAGAGATCAAAAGACGAGTTAGCCTGGCATGGGCGGCATTTGGCAAACTAAGCTACACTCTTAAAAATAAAAGATATCCAAAATGCGTATTCCCTGTTCTTACTTATGGTTCCCAAACGTGAACATTTACAAAAGCAAACGTGGACAAAATCATAAAAACCCAAAGAGCAATGGAAAGACAAGTGTTGCACATAAGACTAATGAATAAAAAGAGAAACGAGTGGATAAGACAGAAAACAAAAGTGAGGGATGTTAGACAAGAAGTTGCAAAATTGAAATGGAGATTTGCCGAACATATTATAAGACAAAAAGAAGACTCTATTTTCTTCTGAGGGAGAGAGCACCAAGTAGGTCATAACCCAGTTTCTGTGTCATAATTTCCTGATATTTATGGGAATCACATGTAACTTCAAGAATTTGTCATATATATACAATCTGAGAAAATATAACTTACGTTTATGTCATCAAATATATGTCTATATAGGCTTTTAATGAGAAAATTGCATTTTCAAACAAAATCGAACCATTTAAACCAAATTTATATATACATCAGAGTATATAAACTATAATATTTTTTATAAACGAGAAATCATAATATTATTTCTACGTTAATTCGAGCTATACACACTATATAAAAACAATTATCATTTAGATAAGATACGTTGTGTTTATAAATAAACAAGCATACTAGATAACTATATTATTTTATAAATTGCAAACATTTTTATGTTAAACGATACCATTTATATAAAAAGGAAAATAACTGCTTAATTTATTATAACATACCTACATACAGTTTCAGCGTTTTTCTACACACAAAACATGAACTCTACTGGCCAATATAAGTGCATTTACTTCAAATAACGATTATCATAATCTATAGAATTGGACTGACATCTATTTTGCTAATCAATAAACATACATTCTTATCTGGGATTTTTTGAAACATACGAGGCGTTTTCAAAGATAACAGAATATAAACACACTAAAATACAAAAATACTATATTTTTTAATTCGTGATGGCTGTAGTTCTAAAAAAAGTGCAAGAAGGAATACTGCATTCAAATCTTATCACATAAATTATTAGTGGGTGGTCCTAGATTGATGGCAACCCTGTTTGAAAGCGATAAAAACTTTATTTTAGATGGTATTCGATGTAGGTTTAAAAGTATGAAAATAGAGTTGCATGGCAGGTGTCACAGTATTTTTTGTTAATTTAAGAAGTCCTAAATCTGCCTGAGATTCTAACAACGCCGCTTAACCGATTCGCTGCCAAACTTCATTTGTTATTTTTATAGCGCCTGAAGGTCAATTTTGTGTTCTAAACATATAGAAAAATATTCAAAAAATTCTAAAACATTTCAGAATAGCCCTGTATCTAAAAATTTTGTGTTCCAATTTTGGAACATGGTCATAAGTATATAAAAAAAATCAACAACGTCAATTTAAACTGAAACATTTTATATGTTAACATTTTGAGAGGATCTATATTTTTGGTTCATGAAAAGATTTGAAACGATTCGTAGGGCGCACATTAATTTTATAAATACCGCATCCAAATGTACAATCCACATCCAAACCGTATTTGATACATTCTCAAACCAAAATTTAAGCCCATCTCTAAAGGTTTTCCTTGAATACGCTGTTTACAGCTATGATGGGGATACATCAACAGATAGTGATATGGTTTCACCAACCGGCACATATTTTATAAATGAACTATTTAAATGTTCCATGAGTATTTTATATTTTAGCAAGCTTATCATTTTTTTGTAGCTGAGTGTTATTTGAAAAATGTAAATTTTGTAAAATTTCTCTAAACCTATTTATCAACATTGGGCTGGCGATTGCTTCGTTTCTGAGATTCAAATCCAATCTCCAATATATATATATATATATCTTTTCTGGTACTTTGAGAATAACCAGAAATCAATAGAATTACAAAGAATACTTTGATTCTTCAACCGTAACCTCAAATTAATGATGTGTTTACATTTTTGTGTCGGGCATACCTTATAGTCTCGTCTTTTATGCATTCAAAGAAATTCCCACATCAAAAAAGTGTATAGAAACCGATTGCACTTTCACAGTGAACATTATTTTGATTTGGAAATGAGATATTTTCTCGATATTTATTTTGGAACAAGTCGCCCCTTTACCACTCGTTTTGTCTATTTGATTGAGCCACATTTATTAGAAATTCATCATATCTTCATTCTTCAGCGAAAAGTAGGAACACTTCTCACAAAGGCATAAAAACACCATCTACGCAGTACAAAAAAAAAAATACAACATTACCGCAATATCAAGGTGGAGGAGGACTTATGGACATAGATGAGCAACTAGATAAACATGTTGCTAATTTAAGAAATTATTTTCAGGTGTAGACTGAGACATCTACTTTACATGAGCAATGTGCGCAGTAGATGATACAACGCCTCTTAAATTAAGGGAAGTACAAATGCGCATAAACCATCTGACTAAGCAAGAAAAAATGCGCACCTGAAAGAGTAAACCTCAGTATGGTCGACATCTTAATGAGATCAGCCAAGAATATGTCGACAATACAACGTAGAACTATTGTTTGACATCAGAAAATATGTTTCCCGAGACTGAGGGTTTCCTACTTGACATTCAGGATCAGGTTATTCCAACTAAAAATTACCTTAAATATATAATTAAAGATCCTTAAGTCCAAAATGATAAATGCCGATATGGATGCCAAGCCCAAGAAACCATCCAACAATTTATCGGGTCTACCTGCAGTTTGTCAGTACTGATTATAAAGAACGTCATAACTCAGTAAGAGAGATTATCCACCAAGAACTAGCTGACAAACTGGAACTTCTCCAAACCGACCATCTTCCTTATTAGCAATACGTCCCTGAATTCTTGAAAATGACAACTACAAGTTATGCTGGAACCACACTGGGCTCAGAGACCAACTAGTGGCACATAATAGGCCGGATCTCATACTAGTTAATAAACTTACTACGCAAATAACACTTCTGGATGTAGCTATATCCAACATCGATAATTTGCGTGTTAAATACAGCGAACACATCGCCAAGTAGAGAGATCTAAAAATACAAATCAGAAGACGATGGAGAATGGAAAGTACCACGACAGTATCTAATATTCTATCGACTACTGGTAATATTCCCAAAAAACTCGTAGAGAACATAAAACAGCTAGGTCTTATTTAATATCTCTATAACGTCATACAGAAAGCTGTACTTCTTGCGAAGTTCAGGTTTACGAAAATTTTTGGAAGATACTCCGGTGAGTATCCGAGCCCTAGGTGAGTTGGTGTACAGTAGTATACCAACTCACCTAGGGCTCGATAATACGGAAAGAGTCCCACCAGAGCTCAATCCTATTGTTACCATAGGTGTCTCGGATGAGTGAATTTTCCCCTTTGAGGGACAGTGAGCCGTATTGCTAAATAAATAATACTTAATAGTAAATTAAATATTTGTTCAAAAAAATTTAATTTTGCAAAAAAGGTATATTTTGCAAAATTTTTACTTAATTATAATTTTTTAATGGAAAGTTATGTAATCCACTGGGGAAAAAATAACGGTTAGTTTAATTGTCAATCTTTATCATTTGTAATGTTCTTCTCTACAGATTTCGGAGATATAGTTGCAGACAAGTCGTCAGGAACAAACAATTCCAGTCCATGAGTTACAAACCGCCAAAACAATCTATTAACTTTAATAACTTGCTCAAATAAACATACAACACGAGGTGTAAAAAAATGACCCATGCGATCCTGGAACTGATGGAAGAAAGAAAAAAATAAAGAAAATCGTGATTGTATAAGATCCACCAATAACCACATGAGTGGTTATTGGTGGAACCACATGAAATATCAAAAAAGTAAAAAAAAATAAAAAAAAGAGAGAAAAATTTATCAAAAATTCTATACGAAATATCAGTTATGACATCAAAACTGTGGTTTGAAATTATATTGTAAATATTAAAAAAATTATTAGCTTTAAAACATGAGATTGGCAAGAAAATAAAAGCAAATTTATTAATAAAAAATATCATGTTTATTTTATTTTACACAATATAAAATTCAATCAATTTGCCTTAGTTTCAAGAATTAAGTTGAAAAGATACAGCAATATTGGCAGCTTGTCCTTTTAAGATTGGTACATCATTAGCCAAATAAATTCCAGCGATATAGTGACAGTCAAGCTCAAAAACGAAATGTTTGCCTTCCAGCGAATCTTTAGATCCGCACATCTCCTTTCGTTCATCAGAAAATATAAACTCCAAACAATCAATGCAGTGGTCACCCCAAGCTACTAGTTTAACCAATGCGAATTCTTTAAAATCGATAGTTCGTACTTCTTGACTTCTTTGTCCAAGATTATAAACTTCGCCGCTCTGGAAATAAACGGACATACCCCCAATTTTGGGAGATGTCTTGTAGCTCTTTCTCCATATAAAAACATCAATACGTGTCATTTTGTTTCTTATTCCACTGCTGATCAATTTTGGTTGTAGAGGTTCCTCAACTTCTTCGGGAACTAGTTGTTTAGCCAAGTTTGGACTTAATCTACCATAATAGCTAGAATATACAACCACGTCGTTGTAAGCTTTCTTTTGCCAATATGGATTCGAAAGAATTCCATTCCAGTAAGGAAAGAACTCAAATCCGGCAACCCCACAGCACGTCCGAACCGTAGATAAAGCTTCATAGATTTGTTGAGGGTCACAACTAGAATATTGTTTGTTAAATACGTCCTTGTAGATACGTGTGATGTAACTTATAGCTCCATCTGATCTATTTTCAATCAGTTGTTTGGACAGGAGTAACAAACGACGAACCTGCTCATCGAATAAACCTATTTTAAGTCTATTGAGAATGCCAAATTGATAAAGACACATTTTAAGACTAATAACTGATGAATAGTATGGAAGAAACATGTAGTTAAAGAACTCCGAGTTGGCTGCTTCAGGGTTAAAGATAAATTTTCTTTCAAATCCTACCATATCGTCTATTAACTGCATGAAATGGAAAGGAGTAGTTTGACTATTGTTTAAATACTCCAAAGTCACATTAAAGTTTAACAGTTTATCCCTTAATTGTTTAATATCGCTTTTCATTTTTTCGTGGAGTTGGTACTCAGCGTCTATCGTTAAATTCCAGATACTTTCAAATTGAGGCCAAAAGAAGTCTATAATGGTTTCAAGTTTATTATCGACAACTGGTATACTACCTGGACCGTATTTAACCAGAATATTAGCAATGTAGCTTAAGTCAAATTTTAACTCGCCTTTGGTTTCTTGATCCCAATTAGTACCATCAACTTTACCGACGTGTACTAGAGCTCGTACTGAAGAATGGTTATATATCCTGACAGCAGTTACATAGTACAAATTTTTTCCAACTTCTAAAGTTTTTCCCTCGCCTGGTAGGATTTCAACTGGAGACTGAAGAGAACCATGCCAGGAAAGGCTAGTACCATTTAGAAGTTCTGCTTTTATGATAGTTCTTCCAATGTTTAACACGTTAAAACTTTTATGTTGATGGGGTAGGACGCCAGCCGTTTGTTTGGTGACGATAGAATTGCTGTTGGGAGCTACTTCAAAAATGTTTGCTCCAAGTTTTGCCATGGTCTAATGATTAACTTGCTGAAAAAAATATATAGGTATAGAAGCCATAAAAGTAATTATTAATAAAATAAGAATAATAAGAACAAATAAAATAAACAAAGAGAGTAAAATATTTATTTTGTTTTAAATATTAGTTCGCCAAAAAATCGGACTTATAGGACAATAGGAAAATCTAATATTATTTGAAAATTGATTGATATATTTAGCTAGTCATAAAATACAGAATATTTCATTTCAACTATTTAACTATTATCTTTCTGTGATTAGAAAATTAAATAAAAATGTGGCGCCACTTTGAAATTTTATTATCATCGTTCTGACCGTACGGCTTTATGTGGGCCCTAGCCTCCCCACATACCAGCAAAATAATGCTACACAACATTAATGAAAGACTGACAATTTTTCCATAAAGATAAATATACTACTGTCGGATACTACGGCTTTCCAGCAAATTACTTATTCTTAAATAAACTATCTATATATCTAGGAACAACTAAAATACTTTGGACAAGTTATAAAAACAGACGCAGAACACATGGAAAGACTTATAATCCAAGAAAAGGAAGAAGACCGAAGATCACGAGGAACATCCCCAACAAGATGGATCGACCAAATTACAGAAATATACAAAAGACACGCATGAGTTAAAAAAAATGATCAGAGACAGAGATATTTGGAGACGGACAATACAAGACATTAATATGGCCACTACACTCCCACCGGGGGATTAGGATAAAAAATGAGCCTCCTTAAGAATTTTCCCCCCGACCTTCCTATCCATCGCTCTCCATGTACTCTCATGTATAATATCTTCTTCCATATCTTCTTTAATATCTGTTTTGTAGTCTTACTCTTTTTCTCTACCAATGGGTTTGTCATTTACGTCACCTCAAATGTAAATGTGTTTAACAATATCTGTTTACTCATATATTCTGTACAGTCTTGTTCGATCATTCATAGAGAGAACACATTCATATTTACAGGTGCTTAAATAGTGATTAAGACCAGTTTTTTGTGACTATCAATAATAAACCAATTTCGCTCCGAGCAAATAAACCCAGTTTTTGTGTTTATTTAAGTGTTTGTTATTGTTTTTGTTTGTGTGTATGTAGTGGTAGTTCACAAAAATGGATGAAAACTCCTCCCCTGACAAAGGGGGGAACCAAAATATGGACCAAGTGGAAGAATGCCTACCAACCAAGGAACAGGAAAAAGGAATTAAGCTGTTTAATCTACAAAAAGGATATCTCTATACGGATAAGGTATATGTATTCATTGAAAAAACAAATGAAGAAAATATTGGCAAACTACATCCTATGAAGGTAGGTCATATTTTACATAAAAAATTAGCAATCAAGAATATTCTTAGTATTGACAGAGTAGGGAAGAATAGGGTAAGAGTACAAGTTAAAAGGCCCAAAGATGCAAATAGTTTAGTACAAAATGAAAATTTAAAAGAGGAACAACTAAAAGCATATATCCCAAATAATTTGCTTCAACGAAAAGGCATAATAAGAAACGTAGATACTACTTTTAATGAACAATATCTTTTTGATAATATAATATTAAATATAACAGTAACGGAAGTCACTCGACTCAAAAGGAAAATTGACTTAAATGGAGAAAAAGGATATGTCCCCAGACAAATGGTATTACTTACTTTTGAAGGAAACATTTTACCCAGATATGTATATATAAACAGTGTTGCCTGTTCTGTAGAACCCTATGTGCATAGAGTTATACAATGCTTTAAATGCTTGCAACATGGACACATATTTCGTAATTGCAACAGTACACAAACCAGATGTATTAACTGCGGACAAGATAAAAACGATGATCATAACTGTAGAGACCCACAAGACAGTTATTGTATACATTGTAAAAATTATGAACATAAATCCATTTCCAAACAATGTCCAAATTTTAAAGAACTAGTTTTTCATTAGTTGCATTTCATTTTTTTATTCTTGTGTAGCGTTCCTAGTGGCTTATCTGGCACCTCTCCAGCTGGGTAGGAAAAATGCTTCCAGATATGGGTGGTACCGGAAAAATATAATACCCGGGTTAACCAAAACTATGCAAATGAAAACCGGAAATTGAAACATTTTGAAGGCGGATAAACCAAGAGTATCGGGTATATAAGGTGAAAGACAAGTGGAAAACTATCGCAGTAATTTTTCCCAAAGAAAATAAATATGGCAAGTCAAATTAAAAATATAGCTCCCAGTTGTCATCCCATCAGAACTGCCAAATGGAATGTGAAAACACTGTGTAGATCACAGAAACTATCAGAATGCCGGGTTAAAAATAAAAAGAATGAAATGGAATATAATAGAAATAAGTGGAGTGACATAGGCAGGACAAGGCACCATCATGACACATAATAGCAACGTATTTTACTACTCAAGCAACGATACTGTCACAAAGTATGGGGTCAACATGCTGCTCACAGTTGAAATAAACCAACATGTTAAAAGCTTCCTATCAGTTGAGGCCCGACTAATTCTGATCAAACAAAACTTGACTTTGGCCACATTGACCCATCTTATTCTATTCACAGCAGCTCGAAATAGATCAGTTAACGTTAGACCAGTCCATTTCCTAAGTTTGGCCAGCCAGGAAATACGTCTACGTCCAGGGACTCTCTTACCCTCAATCTTGCCCTGTAGAATCAACTGTAGAAATCGGTATTTATCGTTACGCATGATGTGGCCGAAGTAATCCAATTTTTTGTTTTGTATGGTGTTAATAATTTCTTTGCCTTTTCTTAGCGTCTGAGGAAAAGTCATGTTACTTGTGTCATGTATATATGAGATCCTTAACTTACGTCCGTAGCACCACATTTCAAATGCCTTCAATCGTTTTATGGCATCTTCTGTAGGTCTTTAGCTTTCTACTCCATAGAGGAAGACACTAAAGAGGTAACATCTAAGAATTCTTATGCGTATATTGATACTTAAAGATAAGTTGCAGAGAATCTTCCTAAGGCTGTTGAAAGAGCTTCTGGCTTTTTTAATCTATCTATCTAATTAGCCTTCTTCGGTCCTTCTTTGGACATAGGCCTCCCCAATCCTTTTCCATTCTTCTCTGTCTGTCGCTACAGTCATCCATCTAGAGCCCACGTGCTTCGGGCTTCTTGTCTAACATCCCTCACTTTTGTTTTCTCTCTTATCCACTAGTTTCTCTTCTTATCCATTAGTCTTATGTGCAACATTTGTCTTTCCATTGCTCTTTAGGTTTTTATGATTTTGTCCATGTTTGCTTTTGTAGATGTCCACGTTTGGGAACCATAAGTACGAACAGGGAGTACGCATTGATATATATATATATATATATATATATATATATATATATATATATATATATATAGTAGTTTTGAGTTTCTTGAACCGTATTATATTTAATATAAAATTAATGTTTCTTGGGTTTAGGTTCAATAAAAATATGTTACATATGGAGCTAGATTTTATTTTCCATTGCAATCAATCAACGTTTCGGCAGGAAACCCTTGCCTTTGTCAAGATTCTAAAATGTGTATATGTATAAGGACAAACAGATATTTTAAAATATGTATATATATATATGACTTACCAAAACGTAAAACGTGACACAGACATTAACGAACTGACTATAAAACGAACTATAAAAGTTGATATCTGATATCTCATTGTTTACTGTCATTAGTATATAATTATTTTTATATGAGCGTATCGTTGATGTTTTCGAAAAAGGTAAGGTGGAGATGTTATGACTTTAAGAGCGTTTTATGATGTTATATTATTCTTGTTTAAATCAGATTGAAATATATTTTATTTAGGTTTTGTGTATCTTTTTTGTCATTTATTGCGTTGGTGTTTCTTTTTATTTCTATTGATTCGTATACCTCCCTTTTCTTTTTGTTTTTTTCTGTTTTTAAAATTCTGATGTTTTCAAAATCAAATTTATGCTTCTTCCCGCTTTCATGTTTTGTGAGCGCAGTGACGTTGTTCTTGTCGTATTTGTGAGAACGAATTCTGGATTGAAGCAGTTGACTGGTTTGACCGATATAGACACCTTCACAGTTTGTACATGGTATCTCGTAAACAACATGTGATTTTTTAAGTTTTGGAGTTTGTGTTTTTAGTTTTGTGAAATATTTATTTAAGAGATTGTTGCCTTTGTGGGCCACTGTTATGTTATGTTTGGCTAAAGGATTGGTTAGTTGTTCGGATAAACCTTTTATATATGGAAGAGTTGTATAAGTGGTTTTGATACTGTTGGGTTTGTTTTGGAACCAAAAAAACCGGAGATTTTTTCTTTTACGCTGTAAAACTTGTAATTTACTACCAAACTTTTTAAACATAAATATAAGCCATATCAATTTTAATTCTGTAAACCTTACACGTAAATTCGAGACAAATGTTTTTAATTTGTTTGTGAAACAAGTTTTAAATTTACTAATCACTGATACTGTTATCTCATTAAAAAAGCTAAACTGTCAACTCAATAAAATTGAATCAAATTTAATCAATATACTACCACCAGATATTTTTAATACATTTAAGAATATGTGTTTAAAACAAAGTGAATATATTTTTAACAAAACTAAAAATAGGAACACCAAAAAGATTAATAAATTACTTTTAAAATCAAATGATACTGAAAATAAATTAGAAAGATCTTGGGTCGAAAATTTAACTACCGTCGAAATACCTAACGACGTACAGGAGATTTTAAGTTTAGGAGACAACTTTGTAGTTCCTATTCACAATAAAAACGAAATTCCTGTATCTGATATTATATGTTCGATTGAAAATTCAATTTCTAATTTAAATGAAACTTCACAACATCAAATAAGAACAAAGTGCTGTAATATCTTATCCAATTTTAGAAACAAAAATAAATATTCATTTGAAAATAAAGAATTACATAAAAAAATTCAAAAGACAAAAGCCTTTTTGAGGGAAAATTCTAATGTAGTTGTATTAAAGCCTGATAAAACTAACAAAACCGTTATTATG